GGATTGTTTATAAAAAATTGCAATGTTAGCCAATTGATTATTAACAACGCACTAATCCAAAATACTTCATATAGGGCTCGTTGGATGCTGAATTATGTCAACTTTCATTTAGTAACGTCAGAATTACGATAACTTTATTTGTTACAGTCCGATCCGATCAACCTTTTTTCACTTAGTACGCTATACGAATTTTACCCCATATATTCATTTCAATGTTAATGCTTATTGCTCAATGTTAATTACTGTATCCTTATTGTTAATTGTTCTATCATTAATCCATCCTGTTGCTCCATTGGCCTAAACTTTATTTGTAACCTGCTTAAAACCGCGAAGCGTGATAGGAAATGTGATAAAACAAGTTTTTGTTCTTTTTTCTCTTATGCTTTGTGTTCATAAATGGGTAACAAATGAAGTTTAGGCCAAATGAGAATTAGTTGATATACAGATCAGGCTAAGTAATAATTAGTCCTTTGTATTTATAGGCCAATTGAATTTAGTTTAATTCAGTGTTAGGCCATTTGAAATTTGGAGATAATTCATGGGCCTCCAAATTTCAGAGTAAATATAGAAAAATTTATGAAGTGATTGTCAAAAATGAATGGTATATAATATTAAAAATCATTTTTAAATGTTATGAGATTCTAAAAACGTTATTAATTTTTTTGCTCAGTGAGTGTTTATGGTCCTTAAGCCTAATATAAACAAAAGTATCAAGTTATTTATTCAGAAAACTTTTTCATGATATTAAGTAACATTTCATAAATATTTGGTAAATTTTTTTCTAAAGAAATAATAAAACAGGATTTTCTCCTTGACTTTTTATTGATTTACTTTAAAGTATTCGAAAAAAATTTAATTTAACTCGGGGGCACGAAAGGGTTAAATTATGTTACATAAAATTGATATGCGATAAATGACTAACTATTCAATAAACTTTCGACAATAAATTAAAAACAATTTTGGTTAGTAAATCGTAAACATGTTATGATTGTAGAACACAAATTAGATTTTATGAAATGTTTTCAATTTAAGCAGAACTACTTTTAGCTTACAATCTAATAATTTAATTTTGATCAATTTTATTATTAATAAATCGGATAAAATTTTACAGCTGTTTATTTATTTAATAATAACAAATATAAATAATTTTTTAACGCAAGTAAATATAACAAATTTTCGATAGATTAATCAAAATATTTTTTGATTTATCGTCGAGAGTTTATTAAATAGTTGTTCACTTATCGCACATCAAGTTTTTGTAACATAATTTAAAAGGATTGCAACAGCAATGGAAAAATTGTGTTGAAGTTATCCAGTATAAATAATAAAAAAAAATTTCATTTTTATTTGACTTTTACACTTGTTAAAAATTAACCTTCAATTACAGAACAGAACAAATGACATACTAATGGAATGGAGTTTTGAAACTTTTGCATTTCTTAATTTCATTATATAAATTTTGTGCAACGTCTGAAATAATTTTGAATATCAGTTATACCCTAAAGAACACCACTTTGGCATAAGAGAGCAAAATTTCCTTATTTGTCAATGATTATAATAAAAGAAAAAATTCGAAAATCGATTAATTCGGTTTTGAGAAAAGTCACCTTTTAGACTTGGTTTTTAATTTTTTTAACATTATTTTTTTATTACATATTTGAAATATTCAAGAAATAACGAATAATTTTCATATATTACATATTTTTTTTGGAACTTGATTTTTTGATGTATCTTTATGTTTTTCGACCTCAGGAATCCAAAAATCACATTTTTAAAAAATGTCGTTCCGTGTGTGTGTACACTACATTTTCTTAAATACCTCGAATACTATAAGAGCTATTTTTTTAAATTGTAGTTCTCACTGGCGGACAAATAATGAGAGTACTTTGAGCCATATTAATAAAGATTAACTATTATTTTTTGGATTTAAAAATTTTTTTTAAATCGATTTTTGCCCATAACTTAAAAAAATGTATTGACACTAATAGGTATTTATCTCTAGTGTTGTAGAGTTTTTCTAAACGCATCTTTTGTTCTATTAGCAAATATCCTACTGTTATTTTATTAAGAGTTATTATCATTTTGAAATTGAAAAATTTCAAAAACATAGCTTTTTTGCATTATTTATTAAAAAATCTTTATGTATCTTTAAAAATATTATGAATAACTTGGAGAATATATTTAAAAACGATTCAATTGACCTATTACACAGTTCGACAAAATTTTGCCACAAGATTAAACGATGGTGATTCTTATAGGATTTTTGACGTAGATTACGAATCTGTAAATGAAATTGTCTCATCACGTCTCAATTTTGAGAAAAACGGGCTCAAAGTGTCAAAAAATCGCATTTTTGGCACTTTTTGAAGCACTATAAAAAAGAACGCGACGTGATAAACGGCTCAAATATGGCTTAAATAAGAACTAGTACCCTCAACTTTAACCTCCAGAAGCAAAAAACCATGTACCAATAACTCAAAATTATGGGCAACATTTTTTTACCGCGTGCGCGTCCAACAGATATTGTTCCCACGATAAAATGAAATAAATTGCTGAAAACGTCGTCAAAGACACAACATCGATTTAAATTAACTTCAAACTGGTTACTCGGGGGTTTTCAGGGTCGCTGATTACGAATCTGATGTTAGTTTTTAAAAATCCAATATGGCGGATCCAATATGGCGGACGATTTTTTGAATAACTTAACATATTAGTCTGAAAATTGTTACGCGGGGGTTTTCGGGGTTGTTGATTACGAATCTGATGTTACTTTTTAAAAATCCAATATGGCGGATCCAATATGGCGGACGATTTTTGGATTAACTTAACATATTAGTCTGAAAATCGTTACTTGGGGGTTTTCGGGGTCGCTGAATAGGAATCCGATGTTAGTTTTTCAGAATCCAATATGGCGGAACTAACATGGCTTGACTATTAAATTACTACAAATTTTTTTGAAAGGAGTTATTTAATGAATAATTTAATTTTTTCTTTTTTACGCAGTTACATGAAACTTCTTTTTACTAATCCAATATAAAAAAAACTTTATTGAGATAAAAATGTGACGTTTCGTTTATTTTGCACCATTCAGGATTTTAATTTTATTTCTTCTACATTTTCAAGGAGTTCAATTGATGAGCTCGCTGTCAGTTTGTTTCTAATTTTTTGTGGACGAAAAAAGTAGCCGTTAAAAATGAAGCTTGATGTTTTCTGTTGTTTTCATTTTCACGCCGTATTAATTCGCTTGATCGTTTTTTGTTTTCAGTTCAACTTTTCTTGTGACATTTAAAAGCCTTTCAGTTATAAAAAACGAAAGTTACAACGCGTTTTTACATATTTTTTAAACTTTACTTAATTCGATGTCGTTGTTTTATTTAATGTGTAGTTAAAGTTGTTCTTTTCATTGTTCATTGTTCAGACTAATATGTTAAGTTATTCCAAAAATCGTCCGCCATATTGGATCCGCCATATTGGATTTTTAAAAACTAACATCAGATTCGTAATCAGCGACCCCGAAAACCCCCGAGTAACGATTTTCAGACTAATATGTTAAGTTATTCCAAAAATTGTCCGCCATATTGGATCTGCCATATTGGATTTTTAAAAACTAACATCAGATTCGTAATCAGCGACCCCGAAAACCCCCGAGTAACCAGTTTGAAGTTAATTTAAATCGATCTTGTGCCTTTGACGACGATTTCAGCAATTTATTTCATTTTATCGTGGGAACAATATCTGCTGGACGCGCACGCGGTAAAAAAATGTTGCCCATAATTTTGAGTTATTGGTACATGGTTTTTTGCTTCTGGAGGTTAAAGTTGAGGGTACTAGTTCTTATTTAAGCCATATTTGAGCCGTTTATCACGTCGCGTTCTTTTTTTATAGTGCTTCAAAAAGTGCCAAAAATGCGATTTTTTGACACTTCGAGCCCGTTTTTCTCAAAATTGAGACGTGATGGGACAATTTCATTTACAGATTCGTAATCTACGTCAAAAATCCTATAAGAATCACCATCGTTTACTCTTGTGGCAAAAAAAAACCTAAATTTTGTCGACCAGTGTTATTGAACCTTTTATTCGAAAATATTACGAAGTTATTGATGTTAAAAATCTATCTCTGCAAACGCTCAAAAAGTACAACATAACACCGTTTTAGAATTTTACTGCTAATCAGCTATAAGTATACCAAATCAGTGAAATTCACTGATTCAATTAAAGAGAGTGTATATGTCCTTTTAAAGAGGTCCACCTGTTTTAAAGTCGATTATTTTTTTTTAAAAGATCAAAAAAAAAATTTTTTTTCGAAAAATGAATGCCATTTTAGTAATTTTTAAAAATTAAAAAAAACTCGACCTACGGGTTTTAATAACGAAAAAAACTATGTCAAAAAATAAGTAGCTAGTTATTTTTAAAAAATTGTTGAAAAATTGCTTCAAAACGGGTGGATTTCCTTAAATTATCAAGATATTTTTGAAAAAAAAACAAATGATTTGCCACCGATGACTTAAAGGAATAGAAATTTCAGTAAACATCTTTTAAAATAAGTTTTGGTTAGGAAAAAATCTAATAATTATTTTGATTAGTATTATTTATTATCAATTATAAATAATAATAGATTTTACCCTTTTACACTATACTATTTAATTATAAATTGTAATTTAATAAATAAGAATACCGTATTTATTAAAGTCAACTTTGTTTTTAATAATTTTACACATTTCATATTTTCGTTTTTCGGTTAAATAATTACCCAATTTATGGGTGTGATTATATTGAAACTACAAACAAATATTAATTAAAGATTACTAGCAGTCAATATCGCAACGATTAATTGGAACTGAAAGTTTACAAAAAAATTCTTGCTTCGGTCAATAAATAATTTTTTATCACGAAGTAGTACCTCTTCATATCACATAACCTTAGATTTTTTCAAACAGAATAAAACAATATTTTCCTGCTATAATACAAGTAAATTTTTATAAAAGTAAAAGAAATAAGTACCTTTTTGGTGAAGAAGAAAACTCAAAGAGAACAGTACAAATGGTAAAAGAAAAAAAACAGTAGACTGTTTCAACGTAAAAAAAATGTATTCAACTGGGTCATTTTCAACGCCAACAAATATTATCAGTTAATCCACTTCCAAATTATTAACTATATTATCTTTTACGATCATATTTTTATACGTTAATAACTATTATGAGTTATTATCAACAGATTCATGTAACTTTTCAGTGTATACCGAACTGAATGCCGTCGACCACATAAACCTGCAAAAACTTGTATAAACTGATTTCGAATTTTTAGTGGTTGGATAATCAGGGTAATGAATACACGTTTAAACGAAGTTAGGCTGTGTTTACATGACTGCGTTCGAACGCAGCATTTTGAGTTGGACAATGGACCTCTTTATGATGATCATTCTGTCCTCCTTCAACTCATGCGTCATTTTATGCGATAGATAAGGACAGAATGATCAGCATGAAAAGATCTATGAGTGAAACAAGGATGAAAGTATAATCTGTTTTAAGGCGCTTGTATACCTCACCGATCCCGAGTATACTTCCGTCGTGTACCATTGGAGTAAAAGAAACACAATTATCTTTTGACTCTTTTACTCCAATGCTGCACAACGATAGACTACTCGGGATCGGTGAGGTATTGGAATCAGAAATCACGCGAAACTGACCCACCCCTGAGCCTTCTTGTGACAACCATCTTGGTTTTTTATCTCTTTCTTTTGTATATGTTAGAGAAACACGGAATGAAAACATGGCCACCACAACGAGGCTCTCACCAGATGGCGTATCGCAGTATTTCAGATCCCAATACAAGCACCTTCATGGAGCGGTCACACCTCGCCTGCAGGAGCAGTTGCCAATGGCAACCGTGTAAGAGTAAGAGAGATGGAAAATCTTCTATCTCTCTTACTCTTACACAGTTGCCATGGACAACTGCTCCTGCAGCCGAGGTGTGACCGCTCTATTAGGATACAGTCCAGAGATGGGTAAAAGAGCTTTTCTGGAGGTTTTCTACGTATAATACATAAATAACGTATTATACGTATAGTACTGTAGAAAACCAGGTTTTCGACATTGTAGCCACATCAATGGTAACATAACTTTTTTTTGTTATTTACTTTCTGGTTTATTGTTGGTAAATAAGTATTAATTAATAAATAAAATATTTAAATATTGGTCAATTGAAAACTTTCAGTTGTGTTACATAATATTATCTTATTTGCAATAATTTCGTAAAAAATTTTAACATTGTAAATGTGCTTTCGTTCTCAATTTAAAAAAAAGTACTAATATAATTTAAATTTTATTAAAATATTGATAATTAATTTTTGCCAATATCAGAACTACGAAGTAGTATAATGGAGCGGTCACACCTCGGCTGCAGGAGCAGTTGCCCATGGCAACCGTGTAAGAGTAAGAGAGATAGAAGATTTTCCATCTCTCTTACTCTTACACGGTTGCCATAGGCAACTGCTCCTGCAGCCGAGGTGTGACCGCTTTACAAGTATAACATTGTGTCGTCTGTTTATTGTCCCTCCAGGCCTCTGACGTCATATCTTGAACTCAAAATCACGGAAGCCTGTACGGCTCACGAGCGTCTCGGACGCAAGTGGCGGTGTTTCGTGCCACAAGGTGGACGGACTTCGTGCCACTTGTGGTACGAAACACCGCCACTTGCGTCCGAGACGCTCGTGAGCCGTACAGGCTTCCGTAGCTTCCGTAGAAAAGCACTGACGAAATAGACGGCAACAGAATACAACGGAATTGTCATATTTGTGAATGACCCTTCAAGAAATCCACTTTCCACAAGTGGCACGGAGTCTGTCCAACAAGTGGCACGAACTAACGAACTTGCCACAAGTTGGACGGACTTCGTGCCACTTGTGGTACGAAACATCGCCACTTGCGTCCGAGACGCTCGTGAGCCGTACAGGCTTCCGTAGAAATCAGCTTTAACTTTCTGTGGGCATAATATAGCAGTGGGCTCTCCTTATGTTGGGCGAACTCCGTCACACTAGTGGTACGAAATATCGCCACTTGCGTTGGAGGCGCTGGTGAGCCGTAGGGTTTCCGTACTCCTTGGAAACTTTCAGAGTAAAGGCCAAAGCAGAACAGCTTCGCGAACGTGAAACATGAGTTAGAAAAGGACAGAGATATATATTTGTATTCTTTTCTATCTCATGCATCTCGTTCGCGAAACTATTGTGCGTTGGCCTTAATAGTTCTTGAAGGCCTTTCTCCAATAGCATAGAGTAGTATAAAGGAGCTTTTACAATAGATCGAAAACACAAGTCGAAGTGCAAATCCCATGAGTGCAAAAGAGACAGAGATACTCTCTATCTCTCTTGCACTCATGGGATTTGCACTTCGACTTGTGTTTTCGATCTATTGTAGAAGCTCCTTAAGGAGACCGAACCATAGACATATAGAAATGGACCGCTCACCACTGTGGAGAGACGGGAAGGAAAAAAGTAAGAGAGAGAAAGACACGACTTATCCCACACTCTCTCCCACTTTCTAAAGCAGGGACGTTTGAAGGAATCAGTGGACCCATGGTTGAAATTTGTAAATAGGATATATTTTGTAATAGGATCAATGACAATAACAACACTTTACCACCATTATTTCTAAAAATCACTTATTTACAATCAAAAATTAAATCAACATTTTTCACACGTGTATCTTTGGAAGATACCATAGATACATGTACAAGGGCACTTATCGTGCATGTTTCTCGGACATTTTCAGAAGCGCTACTACAACAAGATCGGTCTCCTTACTATTTGTTAATTTGGAAACGGCAAAGCAAATAAATGTTGCTTGGTTTCCATTATCCCCACTCGCCATTTGTCACAATTCTCGTCAACTACCGTACCCTGCTCTAGTAAAAATTTAATAACTTTTAATTTTAAAAATAAAGTCACTAAATTTTCAGTGCGTGCCTCGTAGTGTGCTTCGTAGCGTGATCCGTATCCGTATCTTACGGAAGCTGTGACGATGCTTATTTGCTTTTATTGCAAACCCAGTAAAATTATTTTATTGTTATTACCGTGTTTAAAATTATCTGATATACTTAATTAAAAAATATTCATATTCTTGATAGTTTTTATTAAACAATTGGATTTTTAATGTGCTTTCGTTTTATTAGTTTAAGGTTAATGTATGATCGTTTTGTTAAAAACAATATAAAAAAATTATTTCTAAAAATTTTATATTTATTCTGTCATATTATATACATATATCTGCTGATATAAATTATTTACAATGAAAATATTAAAAAAATATAGAAATGTGTTACTGATAAAACAGTTTGAAGATAAAGTTGACTTTTAATAAATAAAAAATAACAATACTTATCAAGTTTTAAATAACAACAGTATATGCATATTTAACAACATTTAAACATAAAGAAATGAAATTATTATCTTATTTTTAACTTGTAATTTATGTAGAAACGAATTTAATTTTTAAGACTTATTATACAAATGGATAAACGTAAACATTTTTGCACTCATTATTATTTAATCACTATAAATAATATTCTATCTATAATGTTAACCAGTACCTATAAAAAACTATTTATGCTTATAAATTAATTTTTATTAAACTGTTTTGTTACATTTGATGTCATTTCATTTATTAAAATACGGTAATAACAATAAAATAATTATACTGGGTTTGTACGGAAGCCTGTACTGGCTTGTACGGCTCACGAGCGTCTCGGACGCAAGTGGCGGTGTTTCGTACCACAAGTGGCACGAAGTCCGTCCAACTTGTGGAAAGTGGATTTTTTGAAGGATCATTCACAAATATGACAATTCCGTTGGATCCTGTTGCCGTCTATTTCGTCAGTCCTTTTCATTTCAATTTCATGTGAAGAAGAAGAAATGAATTTTATAAGATATTAGTAATATTAGCATATTAGTAAATGTCATCGAACAAACTTTTTATAGTTCACACATAAATACTCATTCCAAACGTAAATACACATATTAATAAACTAAGGATTCCACTAAGAATTAAGCGGAAGTTTTTTCTTAGTTTTTTAAATTTTTCTTAGTTTAGAATAAAAATAAGATTTTTTGGTTATGTTGTCATTTTTTAATTTAAAATACATGAAGAGGATTTTATTTTTTAAAATCAAAAGTATATTTTTATGAATATTTAAGATTAATAAAGATGTCAATGTCATTTGTTTACACTGAAATGTAATCTTTTACATGTATTTTCAATTAAAAAATAACAAATTCATTTTTATTCAAAAAAATTAAACGGATTTGCCCGGATGAAATTATACTTGAAATGAAAAGCACTGACGAAATAGACGGCAACAGGATCCAACGGAATTGTCATATTTGTGAATGACCCTTCAAAAAATCCACTTTCCACAAGTCAGGGATGGGTAAATGTCGCAAACTCAAGGTCTGCTACGTATGATACCTAAAATGTGTAGTATACGTAACAAATTGTCGCAAACGTCGCAAACCATATTATAAATATAACCTCACTTTTCGGATGTCAACTCGGACTCGCCTCATCATCATAACAGATAAATTATAATAATGTCTCAGGCAACTCAGGTAAATAGATCTACTGGTAAATATAAAGAGATGAAATATTCTTTAAATAATAATTTATTGCACTTCAGTTTAATAATTTTTATTCAGTTAATAAGTGTTTTTATATGTCTTTACTCTTTACTTTGAATTTCTATAATCCTACAAAAAAATCTCGTCAATGCTTCTGAAAAATTAAATATAGATCTTTTTGATTTTTAGAAACAGCAGGAAGAAGCGGATGAAATTTCGAAGATATTGAATTTATCAAAAGGAGATCTTCAACTAGGGATGTTCTTTTTTGGATGTAATATTCCATTCGCGGTAGTTGAATCCGATTTTTTTAAAAAGTTTGTCAAAACTTTAAATCCGAATTACTCGCCGCCTACCAGAAAAACTCTTAGTAATTCTATTTAAAAAAAATTTATAATAAAATGTTAACTGATCATTCATCAATACAGACATTAATGTTGAGAGGCCTTCCACCTAGATTCATTTTTAAAAAAAATGTCCACAAAGCAATAATCAAACGAATCAAACAAAAATTCAAAGACTAAACACATAGCGGGAACCAACTAGATTGAGGTTATATTTGCTTCTGACCATTACGAGTGCCTACGTCATGAAATGTAACAAACGTTGTGTAGCAAACTGGACAAGTTGTATACACATGTAACATACGTAGCAAACTTAGGTAACATACATGAAGTATGTTACTTACCCATCTCTGCCACAAGTGGCACGGAGTCTGTCCAACATGTGGCACGAACTAAAGAACTTGCCACAAGTTGGACGGACTTCGTCCCACTTGTGGTACGAAACACCGCCACTTGCGTCCGAGACGCTCGTGAGCTGTACAGGCTTCCGTACATTCGGAAACGTAGACGTATGACGCCACCAACGCTAAACTACATGGGAACCAATGCGACGTGTACGCAACCATTTAGGAACCTATTGGGATCGGCTAAACTGCAATACGCCATCTGGTGGGGACCCATTCTCTCCCTCCATTTTCTTTCTTTGTCTCTCTTCAATTAATAGGTTAGAAAGAGTAGAAAAACAAAATGGAGGGAGAGAATGGGTCAAAGTTACTAGATTATTACTAGACCACCGTTCCCAATTGGAGAAAGGTCTTGATGACGTCAAAGTGCTTGAGAACCAACGCGTCAGTCACGCAACGCAAATATTTAGGAACATATTGGAGAAAGGCCTTTAGGAACCTATTGTGCACTGCATACTTTCCGAGTATACACTTAATCAAAAGTACGCTAAAAATCCTAATTCGGAAACGGCTCAAATTAAAGTATAAAGGTGCTTTTAAGGTTCTTTTATACCTCCAGTATTTTGGTCAAGCAATAGGCTGGATTGGACTTTCACGGTTGTATCACTGAATTTGATTGGCTCTGACAAATATTAAATTTTCACCGTGAATATTGAATTTTGTTAGAGCCAATCAAATTGAGTGATTCCTCCGTGAAAATTCAATCCAGCCGATTGCTTGACCAAAATACTAGAGGTATAAAAGCACCTTTATACCTGCCTTGTTTTCGGCTAGCGATGTATTTTCACGGTCGAATCACTTAATTTGATTGGCTCTGGCAAATATTCCATTCGCATAGTCTGAATTTTTCAAATTAATGAAAATGGAATTTATGTCAAATCCAATTAAATTAAGCAATTCGTCCGTCCAAATTTATAGCTCTCTAAAAATCAATAAAGTATAAAAGCACCTCTATGTATTTAATTGTATGAAAAAATTCAAATTTTACATAATACTGAAATGCCCCCTTATTATAAAGTTCCACATTTCAAATGTTGTACTTTAATTTTGTAAACTGTTCTATTGTAGAAATGATATAACATTAAGTCCAATACATTGGTAATTTTCAATGACATTGTGCCCAGTTCTTATGCTGTTAGCAGGAGATTACAAACTATTTTCTTGGTTAAGTTGGGAGGGGAACCCGGGGTCACGTGACCGAGCTGCGTTTTGAGCGCATTAAGCAGGTACGGTAATTTGTTGTTTTTTTCATTATTTACACGCGCCACGCTTACGAAAAACAAGTATCAACGTATCCACAATAGTCGGATGTCCATGCGTTTTATAAAAACGTATTTTCTAATCGGAAAATCAGTGAGTTAATCGAGAATTTGTGCCTCTGTAGCTGACATCTATTGATGGTGCGCCACGATCGCCACGGTCTTTACAATGATGGTTGACAAGCCTTCCAAAGGACCATCACAAATGGCGTCCGTCGTGCACATGGTCGACGTTTTTCTTCAATAATTATCCGTCGGCTACTTTTTTCTTCTATCTCAATACATTGATAGTGTTGCCGCAGAAGTCGGAACACATTTAGATATTAACGCAATTGATTGACTGATTTTCAGTGAAAACAGTGATCTCCTATTTCAATATACTCGTACGGTCTTTTGTGTTGTCCATGTATTGCAATCTTCTGACGTTGCGTTTACGTCTACCTATCTTCTGACTTTTTTCCTTAAAAAAAAACCAGTAGGTATCCGACCTTCATAAATCACTTCTCAACCCCCAAAATGCTTGTGACAAATTGAAGCCAATTATAAATTTTTGCTTTGAGCAATCTCTACCACGCCTTGTATTTATCTAATCATTTTTACCCTCAGGATCTTTTCTACTTATAAACGACTTTTTTCTCGATATTTTATATTAAGTTCACCTTTTGTTGAAACTTGTTCTCTCTGGAAACAAAGAAATGCCTCTTTTCTACATAGAGAAAAGCGAAAGTCCAAGACAATCTAACCTTTTCAACCGTGACTCGTGGTGTAAATAATTTTGTTAAATTTACCGAAAACAATATCCTGGCAAAATTAAAGCAACATTTTTATATTCCCCTTTTAAAATAGTATTTTTGTCTTTCAAAAGCCGAAAAAAAGTCGTAGGTATAACGTTTCAACAAAATTGTCTCATTTCTTGATCGCAAAACGGAATTGACAATTTATTACAGATTCAGTTATTCGAAAACCTTATGTTCTCTTCTGTTATAATTTTAAGCTTTTTGATTTTTATGATTCTATTAATTGTCTGTGGTATGATTATTTTTGACTTAATCGGATACCATTCGTCAAGTGATTAAAAAAATATATGTTAATATTAAGAGTATGATTTTATTGTTAATAATTTTTTTAATTATTTTTAATGAATTTTAATGAAAAAAATAATTTTTTGTTTGCAGATTGTATATAGCGAGTGTAAATAGTGTGATAGGTGTGAGGTAGTAGGTGAGTGGGTTTTTAGTTGGCAATGAGTTCGGGCAACAAATCGTCGGTGTCCTCCGGCGGGAGAGGCACCAGTAAGAATAAGACTTCACAACACGGAAAATCAGATCATCAATTTAAGTCGTCAGATTCAACCAAGCAAGACAAAATCCAAGTAAGTATACATAACCAGTCTATGTAGGCAGAAAATCAGGCACCGTCACTGAATTTCTGTTTCGTCTTGACTTTCATTGACTTTCCATTTTTCAAAACAACTATTTTCTACACGTGCAGAAAGTTAGCAACGCCATTTTATTTAAAAAAAAAACATTTTTAACATTACAAATGCAACTTATATGTACAAACAATTCTTAAACAATTCTTCGAAACCAAAACAAAAAGAAATCCTTACAACAAAATTCAAAATTATTCAAATTAAAATTCAAAAAACCATTTTTTAACCCAGAAATATTCTAAAATTATTATTTTTCAAAAACAAATTTTCTTTTGAATTTTGCAAATCCAGCACAAAATGGAACAATTATAACATTTCCGAAAAATTAAATATTTTTTAAAATAATTCAAATTTGAAAATATATTATTTTTCTCATAAATATTGAAAAATTATTATTTTTTAAAAACAAATTTTGCTCTGTATTATGCTTGTCGAGCGCAAAATGAAACAAGTATAACATTAATGAAAAATTGAAATTTTTTGAAAATAATTCAATTTAAAATTTAAAAAAAACATTTTCTTATCCAGAAATATTGAAAGATAATAATTTTTCAATATTTCTGTGTAAAAAAACATATTTTAGAAATTTAAAATTGAATTATTATAAAAACAATTTTTATTTTTCGTAAAGTGTTTTGCTTCTCTTTCTATTGGACTGGCATAATTTAGCACAAAATTTAATTTTTTGTAGTAATAATTTTTGAATATTTCTGGATTAAAAAAAATTTGTTTTGAATTTAAAAATTGAATTATTTTAAAAAATATTTAATTTTTCGGGAATGGTATATACCTGATTGTTTCTTTTTGTGCTGGACTTGTAAAATTCAAAAAAAAAATTTGGTTTTGGAAAATATTAATTTTTCAATATTTCTGGGTTAAAAAATCGATTTTTGAATTATTTTGAATAATTTATTATTAAACATTTGGAATATTGTTGTAAGAATTTCTTTTTATTTTAGTTTTGCAGAATTGTTTATTTTTATTTACATATAAGTTGCATTTGTGATCTTAAAAATATTTTTTTTCTTAAAATTTGAGTCCTATTTTTTTTTTTTTTATTGAAAAAAAGAAAATAACATTGTAAACATATTGCACACATTTTCTACAGGGATGCAATGATTTAAATGAAAGAAACATTTTCATTTAAATCATGATTTAAATTGGAGTAGTTTATATTCAAATTTTGTAAACAGTTTTTAAAAATTATTTTTAATATAATTGTTGCACTCAATTTTGTATATTTTAAGGTTTAGAATTCATCTTTTACGCTGTTATTAAATATTGTACTGACATTTTATTCAAAGTTATTTAATTTTAAAGAATGAAAAAATTTTTAAAATGTGAGTGATGACGCTGAAGTTACCAATGTTGATTCGACAAATCAACGAACAAATTTTTCGTTTTCAGATTAGTTTAAAGGTCAAGAAGCAGTTTTTTTTATTGAAACTTATTTATTTTAGTCCCAAATACATCCTCAAACTCTTAAAATCCTCAACCAAGGTGAGGAAATATTTAATCTGAGGAAAAAAATTCTTTTTGTTGAATCAACGTTGGTAACTTCAGTGTCATACTTTTTGAAATATTTGATTAAAAAATCGTCATATGATGTTAAAACTATTATAACCAGTTAGTAGAATATTAAAAAACGTATCGATCGATTTATTTGCAACATTTTACTGTAAATTATTACAAACTTCATGGTAAATATTAAGACTTAATGTCTTAGAAGACGCTAAGCAATACAATTTACAATAAAATTTAAATAGTACGTAAACTTTTGGGTTGAGAGATTTTTTCGTTTTGATCTTAAATTATTCAAAAAAACATCCTAGAAACGAAATTCACAAAAAAATTAGAACCTTTGTTTTATTTAGTCCCGACACACCGTGACTGTAGGATAAAGTCAAAAAGTATAAAAAGAATTTTCCTAAAGATGGTAATAGTAATTTTACTTTTAAAATCCGTAATAATAAGACTATTTTTAATGCAGGAGAAATACATACGCGAAAATTGAAAAACATAAAATCTTGTAATTTCACTATTTTGAATATTGGGATTTTCAACTTAGCAGCGAATTTCCTTTTCTTGACAGTAAATATGCTACATTTAAAGCAGGTATAATAAATGTACCAACTTTAAAAGAGTCGAAATGACTACACACTGTTAATCTACAGCGGATAGGAAAATTACCATCAGCGAACGTAACCTCACTATCGAGAATTGCAATTTCAAATCTGTGGTATTTTCACTGTTTTTCATGTTGTAAAATGATAAGTGTTGGTAAAATTCACATTTTCTGGGGAAAAAATCAGCTTGTAAAATTTTAAGGAATTTTTTATTCACAAACGTTTTAAATAATTGAATTTTTAATGATCTTTTCAATTATTGAAAATATTGAAATAGAAGAAAAATTATTGAAAAAAATTTTAGATTTCAGGTTATTTAGAATTTTTAAAAAATTAAATTGATAATGGTTTATTCACAGTTTTTAGACATCAATTAAAATTTTAATGAATTTTTTAATTCAAAAAAATTTTAAATAATTGAATTTTGAAGAACTTTATTAAAATTATTTTTAATTTTATCGTTGAAATCACTACTGTCTTTATATTCCGTGTAATAATACAATAATTTGTAATTTTACCATTCGTGGCAGTTTTCCAAACCCGTCTGAAAAATTACATAATCTAAAAATTTTATTCCCATCGATAGTAAAAGTAACGCTTTCATAGTGAGTAATAAACGTTCCCTCTTTGACACTTATAAAATTGCATTTTGACTTTTTACAGTGTGGGATAAAATTCCTGTAGCATAGTGAAAAAAAAGTTGGTCAGATTGGACTGTAACTTGCACATAGTTTAGCCCTATGGGTTAGTACTTTAACCATGAAATATTCTTAAGTTTTATCAAAATCTATAGGAGGTGGAGAGAATTGAATTTTTTTAAAAAATGTGAACTGAATATTTCAAGAGTTATAACTTTTAAACAATAACATGAACAAAATTTTGACCTGTATGTTTTCGAAAGGTTTTTTTCTACTCTTTCGAATAGTGAAAATAAAATTAAAAATTTGACTCCTTTTTTTAAAAATCAAAAATTTTCTTCATTTTTTTCAAAAAAAAATATGGTTATGTTACCCACTAAAATCAAGATGTTACTCCATACAATTTGGATAGTAACTGATAGAATCTAGATAGCTGTCCGTATATGTAAGACCAAATATGGTACATGGTACTATCTAGATAGTACCCCCTACCATCTATTTCTCTCCTTGTCCTTCTTTTTTCTTCAAAAATTTTTTTATAAATTTAAAATGTATACTTTCATCACAAACAATATGAAAATGTCCTACTTTTTTGTTTTTGAGATATTTATTAATTAATTTGTTAATGTTAATAAAAATTGAAATATTTTACAAATAAATAAAGTTATCGAAATTCTGAAGCTACCAATCGAAAGCTGACGTAATTCCGCATCCAACGAGCCTAATATAAAATAGTTTTATTAAGACGATTTTATGGAAAAATATTAATAACTTTTCATTTTAGAACGAGTTGAAGCGAAAATTTTATTGAAATGGGATTTTAAGAAAAATTCAGATTTTTACGTTTTCTTTAAAAACAGTTAGAGATACAACAAAATTTAATAGAAGAAAAAAGATGCACCACAACATTTCCTACAAGATAGTAATTGTTTATAAAAAGTCTATTCAACAAAACTACTTTATATTAGGCTCGATGGATGCGGAATTACGTCAGCTTTCGATTGGTAGCTTCAGAATTTCGATAACTTTATTTATTTGTAAAATATTTCAATTTTTATTAACATTAACAAATTAATTAATAAATAGCTCAAAAACAAAAAAGGACATTTTCATATTTTTTGTGTTGAAAGTATACATTCTAAATTAAAAAAAAATTTTGATGAAAAAAAAAATGAAGAAAATTTTTGATTTTTAAAAAAAGGAGTCAAATTTTTAATTTCTTTTCACTATTCGAAAGAGCAGGAAAAAACCTTTCGAAAACATATAGATCAAAATTTTATTCATCTTATTGTTTAAAAGGTCAGTTGGGGTAAATGGGGACAAGAGGTTTTGGAGCTTAATTTACAGTTTTAAAATGAAGTTCAACATCAATATGTTAACCTCAGATCACCTGCAAGAGGTTCTGAGTATTGCCAAGCTTTTATCTTGAAAATTGGCAGCAAGATAAAAAAATGTATCGCTCAATGCATAAAAACTTGAAAATCAAAGTCAAACTGTTTCAGTATTTTGTCGAGCATTTTAAAGAAAACAGACTTAAAAATCATACCAAATTTTTTTCTTATTCCTTATGACTTCTATAACACAAATTCACTTGAATTTTTGATTTTTGTCAATTTGGTTAATAATAACAATCTGTCCCCATTTACCCTGAGTTTTCAAATTTTTGGGGTAAATGGGGACAGCTTGTCATTATTAACCAAATTAACAAAAATTCAAGTGAACTTCTGTCATGGGAATCATAAGGAATAAGAAAAAAATTTGGTATGATTTTTAAGTCTGTTTTTTTTCAAATGCGAAAGAAAATACTGAAATAGAAAAAAATAAAACAAATAAAAAAATTTCAATTGGTTCAACTATTATATATCTACTACAAATTTTTTTTCAAGTTTTTTCATCCCTTATTAATACAGTAATATACTTAAAGAAACTTTTACCTACAAACTTTTATAGAAACTATGCTGTCCCCATTTACCCCAAATTTTATGAAATTTTCTAAATTTTGGGGTAAATGGGGACAGTCAGTTTCATGCGTTTAAAGCTTATCTAAATTTTTTTCTGCTGCATACAATTAATCCTGCGAGTGTAAATAACAACTTAAAAAAAATAAACCCGCAAATATTACCTTTTAAAGGAAGAAACTTACGTAATTTGTGAGAAATAGCGATTTTGTCCTCATTTACCCCAATTGATCCTAACTCTTCAAATATTCAGTTCACATTTTTCAAAAAAATTCAACTCCCTTCACTTCCTATAGTTTTTGATAAAACTTTACAATATTTCGTTCTTAAAGTACTCACCCATAGGGGCCATAGGGCTGAACTATGTGCAAGTTACAGTTTAAAAAGTATTCAGATTAAATATAAATGCAAAAATATTTACAGTGTCAGAACCTTTAGGATGAAGTTGGTAAAGTTCATTGTTTTGACTACAATAAAAAAAAAATTTCCAATTACTATCTTGTAGGAAATGTTGTGGCGCATCTTTTTTCTTCTATTAAATTTTGTTGTATCTCTAACTGTTTTTAAAGAAAACGTAAAAATCTGAATTTTTCTTAAAATCCCATTTCATTAAAATTTTCACTTCAACTCGTTCTAAAATGAAAAGTTATTAATATTTTTCCATAAACTTTATAGAAATTTGAAGCTTAAACTATCCTTTTGACGATATGTTTTAATTAATACTTCTGTCAGTATACAATAAAATTTTCTGGAAAGTTTCATTTCAATTCAATTTGTTGTGAACGAAATATTGTCAATAATATTTTTTCGGCGCAACATACGTAAATTCATTCAATTTTCATATTAAATATTTCAAACTATATTTTTCATGCACTTTAAATTATAAACATAAGTTATTCTGACATTTTTTCCATAGTAATGAATGCATAACAATGAAACTTGGTTCTAACTTCTAACAAAAATTACATCCTAGGTTTCGTTACTTGTAAGTTAAAATTAAACTTATTTTTAATTTAAAATTAAAGTTTTCAAGCCATTTTTTCTTTAACTAAAATAGAATCTTCTTCTGTATCAAAATAAACTAAAATGGTAAATTTTTTCTACATATAAAGACAGCTTATAAACTTAATATAAATATAAATAGCTTATAAACAGAGTTGAATCAAACAAAATCATTCAAACTTTTTTTTGTATTTAAATTGAGAATAACTTTTTCTCACAGCGTACGATTTCTGACAATAAATAAACAACAATTTGTTGAAATAAACCTACATATTAACGATAAAATTAAAAAAAACTGTGGTTCCTTGAGGTTATATCAACTGCGCACATTTTCTTTAAGCATTAATTATAAAAAAAATATACAGTTTAAAGAAAAACTGGAAAATTAGTTTCTTTCTATGGAATCGACGAAATGAATAGAAAAAAAAATTCCTTTAAAAAATTGTTTGTTTTCAAGAAAATTACGAATTAATTGCTTGCTTTGGAATTGAACAATACTTTCATCTTTAAATTCAATTGTTCAGTTATTATAACCATAAAAATATTTAAAAATTAATAAGAAAATGATTTTAAAATTGTTTAAAATTAAAAATACATTATTATTATTATTAATTTTATTAATTAAAATATTATTAAAATAAAACCTAAAAAAATAATATTTTTTTTTATTTTGATAATATTATTGACTCACCACTTTCTTTTGTTTTTCAATCAGGTTGCAATAAAGTAAATTTGAGGCTATTTTATTCATTTAATTTTTATTAAAAACTGATTTAAATACGCAATAAAAAAGGAAATCCTTCTACAGAAATGTGTAAATGAATTTTCTTGATTTTTTAATGCAAAAACTTCATTTTCGATAAATTGGCGCTTGACCCCTTTTGTCATTCTACCCTTCAAATATTCTTTAAAATGGTTGCAATAGTTTAAATGATTGATAAAGATTTGACTTTATACAATAGAAATGTCGAATTTTCTATTTCAAAGATATTTTGACTCGAATCGCGCCGTAATTAATACATTTATCCTAGATAAATAAATAATTTTTATAAGTTTTAAATTTTGTTCTTAAAAATGTTTATCTGTTTCTTTAGCGGATATTATTATTAATATTTTAATTTTTTTAAATATCAATAAAATAATTTTTTCTGGGGGACTGCATTTTTGAGTTCAATGAATTTTCCATCAATTTGAACTGCTGAATTATGATTTTCTTAAAAATCAGCATTTTTAGTAAATTGTATCTTTATATTATCTCTATAACGTATATAAATATTAAATTCAATAGCGAAAATTAAGAATAATAAATATGAGTCTTAATTTTTACCATTGGCGTCGAAATTTATTTTTCACGGGACCAAAAATATCAAATTAGTTTTATGAAGGATTTGGGTCAACGTAATACCCTGAAAAGTATTTCTCAAGGCATTATTTGGATTGAAAATTAAAAAAAAATAATTTGACATTTTTTGTCCTGTGAAAAACAATTTTCGGCGCTGAGCGTCGATGCCAACTTCATGGAGGTGGATTGTCACTTAATATAAACGAGATACTTTCTAATTTCCATATAGAATTAAAGTTTTACGAATTCAAATTATTAAATTCACTATCAGATATTTATATTTAAGTTTTCAAACAACCTAATTACAGTTTTTCGATCATAATCCCCATATTTACGATTAACTATAGTACATTTTATATGTCCAGTTGTAAAATTTATGAAGAAATGTGCAAAAATTTATAGTTTATAACTGTGTGTAAATTGATTCTTTGGTACACAGTTGTTTCAAGTATAAAATTAGTGAAAATAATAAAACGCGTTGAATATTTATATTAGGCTTCGTAAGCTGGTACTTTTTTTTGGCCAATTTAAAATTTAAAAAAAGAAATTGAAATTACGAATTTTATGGCTTTTTCGCTGCACTTTTTTTTATTTTTAGTTAGTTTGTAACTGAAACAAAATTTTCATTTTTCGGAAACCAGGGTAGCAACAAGTTAGGGAAGTCAGGAAAAAAACATTTTACAAAATTACATAAAAAGTAAAAAGTTTTAACAATTTTTGCCTCTAGAAGGGAGCATAAATCACTTTTTTAACCTAATATATTTAAAATATGAAGTTAAAGTTACCAACGCTGATTCGACGAATCAACAAACGAATTTTTCGTTTTGAGATTAGTTTAAAGGCCAAGAACCCATTTTTTTAAAATTGAAACTTATTTTTTTTGGTACCAAATACATCCTTAAACACTAAAAATGTCCAACCAAGGCGGGGAAATATTCAATCTTAGGAAAAAAAATTCTTTTCGTCGATTCAACGTTGGTAATTTCAGTGTCATTTTCAAATTTCGTTAAATTTACTGTGTAATAAAATCATTTGTCTCAAATTATCCGAATTTCAATTTGTTTTAATTTTAATTGATTTAAGTTTAAAATCATTTGAATTTTTTTTGATTTGTTTTATATTTTCCAAATTTTGATTAATTTCAATTTCAATTTATGAAAAATTTTAAACTATTAATGCTTTAATTATTGATGAAAAATTCGAATAGATACAAATTAGTTATTTTGTACGATAATTGGTTTTAACTATAAGTTTTTTATAACTCTTTGTCTTCTATTTTTTGTAAATAAATCACCTTTTCACCTATTTTCAAGAAAAATAAAGAAAAACAAAAAACTGTTGTTCTTGTGGTAACCCTGGAAACTTGCCGTTTATGTTACTATAAATAGGTATTTGTAGTTGAAGACAGTTTTCTGGGTACTACAACTACACTCCTGGTCACAGTAACCAGTGAAATGGGTAAAGAAGCAGTAATTTGTTTGTCCAGTAACTGCATTTCATTCAACCATTTTTTCTGTTTATAATAACTTGGTTCCATTTCTCCCTGTGTAAAATTTACTTCAACTGATAGATCATTCCAGAAGTGATTTTGAAACCTCTTACTGGAATTTTGTAAATATTAAAATATTTGATGTTGTGGATTGAATTCTGGAATGATTCTTTTTTAAAATGTTTTGATTTTCTTAACTTAATAATGTACTTGTTATAAAATTGAAGCAAAAATCAGACCAGACACGACATGCACAAATCATTGACACTCGTATGGGAGGTGGTGAAGATCCCACTTTTAAGGAAAGGGTGAAGCAAGTAATGGAAGTGACGCGTCGTACTGAGGACGAAGTTATCATGGCTTTACATGATAGTGACGGTGATTTCAATCGAGCTGTAAACGATCTTTTGGAAGGAGTGAGTCCTGAATGGGAAGTTAAAAAAAAGAAGGCTCGTCAGCCAAGTAGTTCAAAGCAGAACATTGAACAACTTGGCGTTCAGGACGAAGGAGGCGAATGGGAGTCGGAAAGAAGGGTTCAACGTGGTGGTGGACCACCTCGCATGAGAGGACGTGCTAATCATGACAACCGTGGGTGTGAGTTATGTCATAAATTGGCATAAATTATTATATGTTATCAACATTTTAGTTCAACATGTATCATCAATATTATGGACTTTTATCCTTTAGGGCGTGGACGTGAAAATAAAGAAAACGAAAGGAACATGGAAGAGAGTGGACGAGACAGTGGCTTCCAAGGTGGAAACAGAAGAGGAAGAGGAGGTCCCGGAAGATCAGGACGCGGGGGTCGTGGCGGGGGCAGAGGTTTAGGTCCTCGAACTTTTGCTAATCGTGGTGATCCATCAAGTTCCTCTCATAGTTTCAATCGACCTATTGAAACTTGGACTGGCAGTGAAGAGCAGCAACAGTCTATTCAAGAACCTAAAATGGGTAAACAAAATTGTCATTGCAGCTTCAAATCTCTGTTTTGAATCTCTGTTTTTATAATTTCGACACTTTTTTAGATGCCTGGAATAATTTGGAGCCTTCTGAGGATTGGGACAACGAGGAATATCAAGGATCTCTTGCAGACACTAAAGTTTTTACACCAAGCACGTCTTTGACAGATGAACAAAAACTTCAAGATTTGCAGTCGCAAACAATTCAAACTGTTACACTGACGCCTTTGCAGCAAGAGGTATTAATCAGTCTTTTTAGTCTTCTATTTTTCTCATTAAGTTGTGTATTAAGGAGTTTAATTTTAACAGGATCTTCCGAAATTGTCTGATATGCCTGTGATGCAGCAATCTTTAGGTCCTCAGCAATCACAAACAGCCCAGCATCCTGTGTTGAGTATGCCAACAATGCAACTCAATCAGCAGACAAATGCCGTTAGTAGTGGAGCTCTGACGGCTGCTCAAACTCAGTATTTCACACAACTGACGCAGCAAAGTAACGAGACTCTCAAGACTGCCGGACAAGCCTCTTACTCGTCTACGATCTCAAGCCAGGTGTTTAAATTACGATTCATTTTTCACCTGTTTCAAGTAAAGGAAGGTACTAATCTAATTATTGCCATGTTTTCTAGCCACAAAGGCAAACGAAGCAACGACCTAGAATTCCACCGCCATCGAAGATCCCCTCGAGTGCAGTTGAAATGCCAGGCGATGCTGTGAACAGCAGTATAGGCATCTTAGACGTACAATTCGGTGCAATGGACTTTGGTGCTGATACTAGTTCTTTAGATGGATCATTGAGCGATAAATACACAGCCAGTACAACAATTTCAATCGATATGAATTCCAACAGCAACACTTCCAATACTGCCAGTAGTACCACGAATTCACTTGACATGGAGTCCATGCAATCTACAACCTACAACACCAGTGGTCAAATGGTAAGCTCTGTTTTTCCTATTATTTTGACGTTGTTTCTTTTCTGACACTTCCTTTTTATCTGAATTGCCAGCTTGCCAACGATAGTTTGTCATCGAGCGATCATTCACTTAATTCCCAAAGTTTTACAAATCGAGGAAGTGCCACGACTCAGTCATTAGACATTTCTAAACAAGACTTCACCTCGCAGGTGTCTCCTAATGCTACCAATTATGGCTCGACTGCAACTTATCCTTCACAGAAAACATCCTTCCAAGCACAAAATACAACTTCGAATAGCTACAACGTTTATTCGACAAGTACGCAATCGGCCCAATCGTTTCCATCCGTCACAGTAGGAAATTCAAATAGCTATTCCGCAACAGTCTCCGTTTCGCAAGCTAGCTACAATACTTCGGCGTCATATCCCCAATCTAGTTCAGCTTCCTTTAGTCAAGTGTCACCTTCAGTTTCCGTGTCTGCTGCCGCTGTATATAATCAGCCTGCAACTACCAACCAGGTAAATAAATTAATCTTTAAAACACATCAAACTATCATGATTTTCAACTCAAGTAGGAAATTGTTTCATGTTCATTATAATGTCACTGTTTTGTATTTGCTATTTGCTATTTAAAAAATAATATAAATTCTTTTAAGACTTATCAGTCGACAAGTGCATATGCTCCAACAACAACAACATCTTCTCAATACCAAGGACAGTCAATAGCTACAAATACAGTTAATAGCAATAGCAACAATAGCAACAACTCGGCCTACCAGACGACGGGTTATCAGGGATCGTCCTCATTTCAGTCAGCACCCCAATCTTATCAATCATCTAGTGCTAGTTTTTCATCGCCAATTACTCAAGGATCTGGTGTTTATCAAAACGCATCTGTAAGTGTTACAACTCTAAATAGTATTATCATTCTTGAAGTGTGCCAACCAAATTAAAAATGTACTGTATTTGCTTGGAAATATAGAAAATTAAAACATTATGAGTTGAAAAACTGTCTCAAAGGATTTTTCAAAAAAATTAATTAATTCAAGTTTTTTGTACTCTTTAATTAACAAATTAATATCTTAGAACTTAGTAAACGGATCTTTATTCAAATTGGTATACATACACAGAAAATAATACTGATTTAGTTGAAAATTTCAAAATAACAAATTTTTCATTTTTAATAATTGTTATTGCAAAATTAATTGTTTATTTTAAAAAAAACTATGTTTTCATTGTTGTAGAAAGTTGACCCAATGTTTATTGGAAAGAGAATTTCATTAGGATTCGAACATTATTTGAAAATTTCGTGGATCGTAATTAGCAAAAAAGTTATCGCGTTCTTTGTGTGGCGCTGCGTGTCTAGCGCTAGCGCACAGAATGTCTTTTGTTCAAAAGTATGCCAACTTGTAAATATCTTGATAAGTACGAATTTTTGTAAAAAATGTTCAAGACAAAAGTTGTTCCCAACAGAAAGATATACATTTTTGAACTCAAGAAATTGGGCCCGGATCCCAATGAAATTTCTTAAAACTTAGTAATTTTGTACCATTTGACCTCCTGCGAACAAAAAATGTTAATGTCAAAATTAAAAAAAATGGACAGTTTTTTTGGTAATATTTAAATTTAAAAAAATAGTTTTTTCGTTTTTAACACTGTTTTTGTAAACTTAATTAACAAAAAATCTGTCCATTTTTTTTTTAATTTTGCAATTAACATTTTTTACTCAGAATGTCAAAATCTAAAAAAATAACGAAGTTTCAAGAAATTTCACCGGTCCCCAATTTCCTATGTATGCGGTGCGGGGGTTTTTTTAAACATTTTTTTGAAAAATACTCTGAGGCAGTTTTTCAACTCATAATAATGTTTTAATTTTCTATATTTCCAAGCAAATGCAAGACATCTTTAATTTGGTTGGTACACTTCAGGATTTTTGGCTCTTGTTCTATGAATTATTTAACATAAATGAAAGAGTCCAGTGCTTTGATAATTCAGTTTGTCTTGAAAAATACCGGAAATCGAACATAATCTTGTCAGTTCTTTCAACAACTACAGGCTTTAAGGGGCCTTGTAATTTTTAAAACCATAAATTAAAGGTTTTTCAAGATTTGTTTTTCTCAAAAGTTTCAAAATATAATAAGTTCAATCTTTTTATTTATAAAGAAGCTGATTCCGTAAATAGGAAGGTAAGAAACATAAAAGAAAATTTCTGTCATTTTTTAAAGTTGCGACGTTTCGATGGTGTGGTTTACCATCCTCTTCAGGTTAATTTATTTAAAAACACTAAAAATTAACAAAATACACAATACAAAAAATAATAAATAACACAAGTAAGTAAAATTAATAGAATAATATCTGAATATTAAAATATAGTTTACATTGAAACTAGTCAAAGATTAACATTTTTTTTTAAATAAATAAATAAACGCTAAAACACAAGCACTCGACGAAAGCCGTCGTGTATTTTTTATCTTTAATCTTTTAACATATTTTTCTGTATATCTAAAATAATACAAAAATTAAGTTATGATCTTTAAAAATTTTCATATTTTCCTTCCATAGAGGGCGCACTTTAAAATTGTATTGAAATTTGTCTGCCACCATAACTTGAAAACAAATTGAACGATTTCAGAAAATCTTGTTGCATTCTTTTCTGTGGAATTTTTGTTAGCTGCTAAACCTCTAATTTACCAATAATACTTATTGTTGTGATTTGTGTGAATTATTTAATGTAAAAAAATTATGTTTTTCAGTTTTTTATTTTCAAAAGATTGCCATTTTTTTACATTTTGCTAGTTTTGAGTAATTCGGGGTTTTGCCGCTAAAAAAACTCCACTGAAAAGGATGCAACAAGAATTTTTGAAATTGGTGAATCAGTTTTCGAGTTATAATGGCAGCCAAATTTCAATAAAATTTTAAAGTGTGGATAAAGCGCCCTCTATAGATATATGTACCAAGCACCAGATGAATTTATTTTGTAGGTTAATAGAAAAACAAAAATGTTTAAAGCAATAACTTGTATAAATATTTAAATTTGACAAAACTGCGCAACTTGTATTTTTATTTATTATTTTGAATAAAAAAACACTTAACAAATTTTTACATAATAATAAAATATTATTTGTAATAATTTGTTTTTTACAAATGAATAATTAAAAATATTTTTTCACGTAAATTTGAATTTCTGTTTTTTCATTATATCATTTGATAATAAATTTTGCGGTTTTAGGTATACGCATACAGTACTTACGGAAGCCAATCGCAGACAGCTTCACATAATCATAAATTGAACAGCACGGGAAATAAAGATTCGCAATATGAAACAAGCACAACTACATCTAATAGTTCCCTTGCGACAACGACAACAACTCAAAATCTTGGTCTTTCATCTTCTTCGGCGAATAGCTCTCAAACCAAAGTCACCAATTCTAATGGTAAATTTTCTATAATTTAAAATAAAAACTTATTGGTAGTAATCTGGCCAAATATTATTTTTAAAAATTATCTTTTTGTAAGAAATATAGGGAGGAAAAGCAAAATCAACAAATTACTTTTTCTCGACTGCTGAACCGATTTCTATAAAACTTTTATATGTTCTATAAATTTGAAAGAGTAATCATTAATTGCTTATTTAATAGGTTACGCTCCTCGTTTCTCTAGACTTTCTAAAAGTTTCGTAAAATCGTTTCACCAATTCCGGTTAAAAGTTAATCATCGATTAAAGCCAATTTAACTGCTTATGATTGGTCGGTTAGGGATTTAGTCGCTGATTAACTTTTAATCAGAGTTGGTGAAACTGGACTTAATTATCTTACACTAATTTTTAATTAAAAATTTTATAAAATTTAACAATTATTTACAATTTTAAAAAAATCAACAAATAAAATTACTTAAAATTTCAATTTAAAAGCTTTAAAAATTTAATTATTTTTAAAATTTTTCATCCAAAACTTTCTGCAATTTAACAAGTTCATTATAACTCTTCAGAATTTTAATTATTTTTAATGATTTTTATAATATTCTTCGAAAATTCAATTATCACAGGTCAACATTGATTTTGGTGCGGCAAATGTCAAAGATGTTTCTGATACGTTTTTTCATGCTAAACACGAATTGAGAAAAGCAGGTTTAAAGTGGCAAAAAATTGCGTTTTTGGCAATCTTTGAGTACCTCTAGCTTAAATTGAAGCTTAATGTCAATCCCCAAAAAAACACCTTTCTGACACCATGACCTGAAAGTCATTTGTATTACATTTTTGAGTCGCAAAACTTAATTTTGGAAAAGTTTGAGCGCGTACCTCTAGCAATGAAACAAAATGCCATAGAACCTTTTATTTGGGCTTAAACTAAAGTTTAAACTTTAGATTACAATCCCTAAAAATGATATTGATTCAACAATGACCTCAAAATTGTTGGTAACCATTGTTAAAAAATCTTCCTTTGTTGAAAGTAAACAATTTATTACTAATGGCTTTGAGGTTAAGGTGCTGGAAATTAATTCTCAGGGATTGTAGTCTAAAGTTCAAACTTTAGTTTAAGCCCAAAAAAAGGTTATATGACTTTTCATTTCATTGCTACAGGTACGTACTCAAAATTAATTTTTGCAACTCAAAAATGGATTATAAATGACTTTGACCAGTTTTTCTTAAAAACTAGAGCTGATAGAAATTTTTGGTTTTCGGATTCGTGTTCAGCATGAAAAAACCTATCAGAAACAGCTTTCACATTTGTCACACCAAAAAAATTTGTTGATTTTGTTGGTCTGTGTTATTTGAAAGCATCTTTCAATTAAAAATTTTAAAGTACAATTTTTGTCTTTAATTTTTAATAAATTCTAATTTCTAATAATTTCTTCATCAACAAAAATTACCAAAAATTTCAATTAAAAATCACTTGATGTTCAATTAATTTCAAAAATCTGAATCCGGTTATTTCTAAAAATTCCAACTATTACTCATCCATAGATCAATTATTTTTAATAATTTTTTAATATTTCTTTAAAAATTCAATTATTTAAAAAAGTTTCAAATAAAAACTCTAAAATTGAATTTTCAGTATTTTTTTTACGTCTTCGATTCTGAAATATTCAAAATAATTTTTCTTGATAATATTTCTGTAAAATTATTTTTATTAAGGTATTAATAAAATGGGTTTAATATCTAATAATATATTAGTTATTTAATGTAAAATACTTATTAGGTAACTAATTAAATTTAATTAAAATAAAGAAATCGACTAAAACGACTTTTTTTGCGCCTTAAAGTCGATTCAAGGTCTGCGACTCTAAAATAAGAAAGAAATAAAAATGTTTTTGTTAATTAAGAACAAATTTTTTTCGAGTTTTTAGATAATAAAATTTAAATGGATTATTTTTGCAAATTACAATTAACGATTAGTTTATAAAACATACCTATATGAGATTTATTAAAATTCGCTAGATTTTTCAATATATTTCACATTTCATTGTAAAGTAAACTTTGATTATTTATTAATTGAATAGCTGCACCGAAAAGTACTTCGAGTGGTATAGTAACTGGTACTGGAAACACTGGAAACATGACAGTCGCTGGGGCAACTAACAACATGACACCAGCAATTCTTGGTCACCAATATATCATGGGACAGAGTGTTCCTGGTGTTTTCCCTACTTATCAACAAATGTACAGTTATGAAGAATTGCAGATGATGCGCCAAATGCAACCACACATGGTCAGTCACTGAATAAGTTTATTTATTTCATTTTCAATTTCATTATTTTTCATTTTTCTCTTATTCTATCCATCTGATTGTTTCTATTGAAGGCTTTCGTGTGAAAAAGAGGATGCACCAGAATATGAAACTAGTAACACGTTCAAACCTCTTCTATTACATGAAAGCCTTCAAATTGGCTTTTTGCTATACAGAAAAAAGTTTGTCAATACTGTTTTATAAAATTCGATTTAAATGAGAAAAATTTAAAACAACATTAGACTTGGAAATTACGGTAGCATTGACAATCTTTTTTCCAATTTGATATATAGTTCAAGTGACCTGTATAGAGTATATTGTTTGGTTTCGTAATAGAAATTGGTACTGTTCTCAAATGGTTTGAGTATATTATATTATGATTTTGATTGAAAAAATATATATATGTACAATTAAATAATACCAAAAATTATCGAAAAAATTTTTTTAAAAATATGAGTTAACTTTTCTTGCACATGGGAATATACAAATAATACTTGGAAGGTGACAATGCATTAACAGGATAGCCACAAGTCAGGGAAAATTTTTTTTGGTCACGGAAATTATTATTATTTTTGAAAATTCAATGATTTTTAGTTTTATTACTCGATTTTGAAATTCAATGACAAAAAATTTAGTTTACTCAATTTGACTTAGAAAACGTGAAATATGTTAAAAATTGTTGGTAATTTTTTTATAATTATTATTATTAATTTATTATTTATTTTATTTTATTAAAATGAATATTTCTTCATTGTAATATAATTAAATTTCTTATTTAATTAAAGTCTACATTAATAAACATTTTTATACAACTGAATTTATTAAATAATTGAATTTTTTTTGCTCAAGAATTTATAGTGTAAGTTATTTTTTTTAATTTGTTGAATTTTTGAAAATTCACTCTACTACATATGTATATTCAGTCAATCAAATCAATTTCTTTTGGTTATGATATATTTTTAATTTTGGTTTAAAAATCTTTTCTCTGTACGAAAGTTAGATTTATTTTCTGTTATCTTAATTAACTTTGTGTTACTCGCATACTCAGTTGAAAGTTCCTGGAATTGCCTTTTTAATGATAGGGTAAGTGCATCAATTACTGCGTGTTCATAAAAAATAACTATTATTACTATTATATTTAATATAACTGTTGCAAAATGATTAAAAAAAATTATTTTAATCTTTTTTGATACAATTACTAATGAAGATGCATATTTAAACAATTATTAATTTAATTATTTGAGATCAAATTTTTTCCCTCGCCGTAATTGAAACATTTTTAATATTTCCATTGGCTCCAATTTCGGCGGGCAAAGTATCTTCAAAATACACGTAATTTTGGTCACCGTAACTGATACACCGAAACTGATACAAACGCGCCGCAATAGAAAATTACGGTATTAGTTTTAATTTCTCATATTTGTTTAAATAATCGATTTTTATAAAGTTAAACATTTTTTTAACATCTAAATAACATAACTGTGAGGATTTTGAGGTTGAGATTAAACTAAAGTGGTTTTTATTTTAAAGAATTAATTTTTATTACAAATTAATATATTTTAACTTAGACTTTTAATTTAAATTCGTTACTTTCACAATTGAATCTCACAGCAAAGCTGTCTACACACACTCACTCTCAATGTCTCTCTATATCTCGGCGTTACCAATGATTGCGCCCCCTATCAAGCTTTAGTCTAACTAATATTTAACGCGGAATATTTAAAATAAAATAAAATTTATAACATTCGGCCATCCTCGTATCGTTTGGTCCTCCAAACGTTTAACATAAATTTTTGTCATCACTATCTTCGTCGTTATCGATTTGTTAATCAAATTCGTCTGAGTTGTTTGCTTCGTGAAAACCTCTCCAGATTTTTAACTGGCTCACATGAGCTGTGCTTACAAAACCTCGACTGTTTGTTTCGTTAAGTTTTTTAATTCTATACGTATCACTAGGAAGTATTTCGGTAATAATCATTGGTTCGCTGTAAAGTGGTTGCAACTTAGTCGATTGTCCAGTTGCTTCAGGATTTCTTTTAACAAAAACAGTTTCGCCGATATTATATTTAACATTTTTGAACTTATTTTTATCATATTGTGCCTTATATTTACCCTGAGCTTTTACAATGTTTTCCCTAATTTCGTTTTGTACATAGATTGGCAATCGATACGTTTCGCAGTGTCGAGTTAAATTTCGCAAATTTCCCTCTTTAAATCGTGGAATGTATCCATACAACGCTTCGAAAGGAGTTTTTCCTGTGGACTTGCTTACCGTACTATTAATATCGCGCTCAATCTTTTTAAGATTTAAATCCCAATCGTTTTGTTCCTCCGTACCTAATGAACTTCGCATACTCGGTAAAAGCGTTTGATTTAGCCTCTCGACTAGGCCGTTAGCCTGAGGGTGTCTACTCGAATTTAGAGTATGTTTCACGCCATACTCTTCGCACATTTGTTGAAACGCTTTAGCCGTAAAGCATGTTCCACGATCTGTTATTAATCGATTTGCCGCTCCAAATTTTTCGAAAAAGTCTCTAATTTTATTCGTAGTAATTCTTTCCGTGACATTATTTACCGGTACTATATGAACATACTTCGTCAAATTGTCAATCACAGCTAAAACATATTTGTTTTTCCTTGGCGTCGTTACAAAAGGTCCCATATGGTCCGCATGAATTACATCGAAAGGTCTATTACCTGGAGGTATTGGGTGCAGTTCACCCGCCGACGCTCCTGACTTGTTCTTATTCAAAATGCATTCGAGACAATTTTTCACATGAAATCTTACATATCGTCGCATCGCAGGAAAGTAAAAATATCTCAAAATTCGATTAACAGTTTTTTCAATTCCGAAATGTCCACATAAATCATGATTCCGTATAACGACGGATTTTCGCATACTTTTTGGAACTACGTATAGTTCTCTCGCTTCATTCTGAACAGTCAAAATTCGGTACAATAAACCTTCGCGGAATACATATTCTCGAATTTCATCTTTTTCAGCTTCAGTTCTGTCATTAATATTTTTCCGCAAAATATCGATTTTAGCTTTGATAACTGGATCTGATCTTTGAAATATTAAAATTTCATCCTCTCTAGTTTCGACTGACAAAATCTTTAATTTTTCGACGTTACATTCGACTGGCTCTACCGGGGCTCGTGATAATGCATCAACATGCTGCATTTTGTCACCGCTTCTATGCCTAATGTTGAAATTGAATTCGGAAATTGCATTAATCCATCGCGCGATTTGAAAATTCTGTGTTTTCCAGGCATTTAAGTGAATTAAACATTGACAATCGGTAATGATATCAAACTCTAACGCGATTAAAAAATTTCGAAGGCGTTTTAACGCCCAATCTATTGCCATTAATTCGAGACGACTAGAGTGGTACTTTTCCTCAGCATCCGTTGTTTTTCGGCTAATTGCATACACTAATTTTAACGGTTCATCTTTGTTATCTGACTGAAGGAGCATTGCGCCAATGCCCTTCGCGGACGCATCGGTGTGTAATTCAGTTCTCTGAGCTTTCGGATTGTATGCTTTCAATACCGGGCGACTAACTAATTTTTGTTTCAATTCGACAAACGCTTTTTCACATACTGGACTCCAATTAAATTTTGTATTATCTTTTAACAAATTGCTAATCGGCGACGCAATTTTCGCAAAATTTTCAATGAATCGCCTGAAAAAGCTGGCCAATCCAAGAAATTGTCACACCTCGTGTTTCGTTGTTGGAGTAGGAAACCTTTCAATTGCTAAAACCTTTCTTTCCCCTGGTTTGACTTCCCCGTTGCCAATCACATAACCCAAATACTCGACGTTCTTTACCCCAAATAAACATTTCTTTAAGTTCAAGGTCAAATTGGCATCTCTCAACAATCGTAAAATTTCCTCCAACTTTGTCAACAACGAATCCCAACTATCCGCATAAATGCAGATGTCATCGAAAAAATTGAACACTAATCCTTTTCTTTTGGCGACGCCTAAAACACGATCCATTAATTTGGCGAAATATTTGGGCGCATTAGCCAACCCAAACATAGCTCTTTCGAATTTACCCGTTTCTGTTTCCGTGATAAAAGCTGTCAAATTTTTCGACTCTTCGGACAAAGGCATATGCAAATACCCGCTGTACATATCAAGTTTAATAAAAATTGTTGCTCCAACTAGAAATTCTAATAAATCGTCAAAATTCGGGATGGGGTAATTAATCGGAATCGTATTTTTATTTATCCGTCTAACGTCTAAAACTACCCTAGGTGTACCGTCAGATTTCCTTACTAGAAAAGCCGGACTAACAAATTCCGCGTCGGTCTCGGTTACTATTCCCGCGGCTTTATATTCTTTCACTAACGTATTTAAATCTTTTTTGTCATTTGAATTTAATTTGTATGGTTTTGCCTGAGTCAATTTTGATCCTTCTTTTAATTTAATGTCCATCGTGATTTTATCCGTGCAACCTATTTCAAAAATAGTTCTCGCTGTGCATTCTTTGTATTTGTTTAACAAATCTACTAATTTTTTCTTTTGACTTTCACTGACATTTTTCTCATCCGTAATTACTTCGTCCCATTCGATCGGATCACTTCGCGGTTTTATTTTCGGAATTGGTTCTACTGAAAGAATTTTCTCCCCTATTGATTTTCCCGTTTCGATGTTTTCTTTTCTAAATCCATTATTAATAATTGAAATTTCTTTTTCACCAATTTCTGTATTAACTTTGATAAATTTAATTTCACCTGGTTCTAGAACCATTGACTCCGCCGCTTTTAACGAATTTCCTTTATATTCAGAATCTTTACTCAAATCGAAATTGACGTCAACAAACTTTAAATCGTTACCTATACGCGTGTAACTTAAATCATGTGACTCTGTAAAAGGTCGACCCAAAATTACATCAACAGCCTGTGCATCGTCTGGTACCACCCTAAATGTCATTATTCTTGGACGTAAATTTTCCATTTTTAACATTTCTTCG